TTCAAACTAATTCTTAATTAGTGTAAACATAACTTAAGTCGATAAGTACAGTTAAAGTAACAGTTGAACCAAAGTACTAACTATAATTCGTAAAATAGAAAGTAAAAATGACTGTAAACAAAGAATTGATAAGATTCTGAATGTAAGGGGACCCTAATATGATCAAGTCTTACTTCTTTCCTTTAATCATCTTCTCTAGCGCGGCGCACTGCTGCTTCTGCATGGCCATCTTCTCCTTGGCGTGTCGTTTCCGCATCGTCTCCAGCTCCTTCTGCTGCTTGCGGCCCGTCTTCAGGAATCCCTTCTCCTGGCGCAGCGACTCCACCGTGATCGGCTCGAATACTAACGGCGGCTCTGATAACGGGAATACGAAGCTATTTGTTTTTTGTTATAGTATAAGTTGATAAACGAACAAGCGGTCACTAGATTTCGCCGAAATAGCGAAACGATGCCTATACGTAGAAGTGTTGTCTATCGTTAATTGCTGAATAAGGTGCACAGAAATATTTCGTCTTTCTATGCGTTTCCTAACTCTGTAAATGTAGATATTTCACACTAAATCTACAGTAAAGGACTTATGGCCGGTTTCCAAGATACGTTTGACCATTTGTTAGTGTTTTTGGTTCGATAAATTCAAGAAATAATGCGTTCTGAAATACGTAACTTGAGTTTTGCCCCGATGAAAACATGGGTTAACCTAACACTAATGATTCGATAGGTACTTACAAAACAAGCGGAAACTTCAGAAACTCAGCATTAATGATCATTTAACAACTCTGTTTCTGTGTTCAATTGGTAGTAAAATTTCAACCAGCAACATCAAGTTTCCGTAGTGTAGCGGTTATCACGTGTGCTTCACACGCACAAGGTCCCCGGTTCGATCCCGGGCGGAAACAGAAACTTTTTTGTGTTTATTTTTAGTTTAATCTCCGTAATAAAATTAGAAAATCGTTGTCACATAATACTAGAATTATATAAATGTTTTCAGTTCATAATATTACGTCTTTATTTTTGTATCAAAAGCTTTTACAATAAAAATAGCGTTCAAATAAACATTCATAAAACGTCCGGTTTTAATGTTATTCTAAAATTATTATTTGGCGAACTGCCAAATGTTGGATAAAATTCACGGTAACAAAGGGTTTCAACTAGGGTTGTAACGGAGTCCATTTTAACGGAAGCGGAAGCGGAGGTCAACAAAAAAATATTAATTGTGATTAATTAAAGAAATAAAAACTAAAAGTACGTTAATTCAAAATACAGATTGGTACGTAATTACAAGATACAGTTTATTATGCAAATATAATGTATAACAATTATAGTTAGTTGACATATCACGCCGCACGGGTCGCACAGATACCTAATCGCCATTCTCGCGTTAAAGACGTAAATTAACCTCCGTTATAACTCCGCATATTAAATAACAGAAGCGAAAGCGGATGCAGAATTATCATTCCTTGTGGAAGTTCCGCACTTGCGGATGCGGAAACAGAGTTTCGTTACAACCCTAGTTTCGACTGTTGAAAATTTGTATTAACATTGTTGTTTCTAAATCCTAAAAGGACAGCAATATTTGTACAATCTTAATTTACTAAACCTAAGGGGACATAAATATAAGAATACAGTTTATTTTTATTGGATTTCTCGATAACATTCTAAACTACAAGGCAATTTAATGCGTAGACCTTGATATCATAACAATAAATAGAAAATGTTTGTCTGTATGAAATTTTAAAGCGTCTATAGACATATTAATACTTATCCTACTAATATTATACATGCGAAAGTTTAGATGGATGTTTGTTAGAGTTTATAGTCGAAATAGCTGAATGGGTCTCAGTTTGGCATCAAGGGCGGATCCAGGGGGTGTTGACCCCCGCTGGGCTGGTTGGTCAAGAGCTTGACAAAATATATTTACATATTTTGACAAGCTCTTGACTTGACCACGACTATGTGATCACGACGTCAAAGCTGGATCCGCCCTTGTTTGGCATAAACGTAGATTTTAGTCTGGAAGAGCTATAGGCTATTCACTTTTTTAATCGGACGGAGACACGGGCGAAAGCTAGTTATTAATTAACTAAAAAAATAAGTACCTTTAATAGATTTCCTATTGATATCCAACAAGCGCGGAACAAACATGTAACTAAACATGAATCTGTTTATATCCATTTTTAAATCACAAAACACGCTTTTATTAAAAAAAACAATGTGATTAAAAAACTATATTCTTTTTCTTGAGGGAAACAAATAACTATGCAGTCTTTATATTTAGAAAATTAAAGATTTTGAATACGTTTCGTTATGTTCGCGGCACGACTGTTTCTGTTGGGCGGGCGCATGAAAACATAACCCAATGTATTTATGGCACAAGCGATGCGATCTAGCGACATTACGAATTTATATACTGAAGAATGTTTGTTTGTTAGGTTGTAATTACTTTTAGTCTGGATTTCTTTTATAAAGATTTGGTTTAATGAAACCTAGGATAAAGTTATTCTATAAGAAAATTAATTAATGTGTTAGTTTTCTAAGAAATATGAATACTATA